CCACCTTAGACCAGTCAACCCTTGTCTCTGAGCCTCAGTTTCTCCTTGTGCACAATGAAGGCCTGGGACTTGAGATCTAAATGGTCCCTTTCATCTCTGACCGTTTTATTTTCCTAAAAAGAAGGTTCTTATACAGGTGTGATCTTCTGGAAGATTCCAGGGAGACCATACCACTCTTCTCCTCCCATCTCTTCAAAGCAGCACCCAGGGGCTGAAGCACATCCATTGTGCTTTAAAAGCCTCCAAATACAAAAACTTTGAGATCCTTTCAGTATCCACTAAAGTCGAAGCATGACCCATACCTAGGCCCCAGCACTTCCATAGGTAGGCATTGCTGCAACAGAAATGCATACTGGCTTTGCCAAAGGATATATACCCACTAATGTTCATATAGTGCTCTTCATAATAGCTCCAAACTGGAAACTACCAAATGTTCATTAACAGTAAATAAACTGGTATAGTCACACAATGGAACTCTCTCGAGAAAAGAGAAAGAACAAACTATTGCTGTATAAACACCATGTATGGTTCTCACAATGCTGGGCAGAAGAATCCAAACACAAAGGACTACATGCGCCTTGGCTCCATTTATTAAAAGGACACAAAGAGGTGAAATGAATCTCTGTTACTATAAGGCAAGATGGTAGTTACTTCAAGAGAGGATGAAGTAATGGATGAAGTGGAAAGGAGTATGAGGGAGGTGTCTGCGTTGATGATGATCTGATTCTGGAGCTGGTTACACACAGTGTGTTCAGTTTGTGAAAATTCATTCAGATGTGCAACTATGTTCAGTGCATTTCAGGAATATTTTGAATATTTTATGAATATTATGAATATGTAAACCTTACATTGAAATTTTCTTCTCCCCAATCCTTGATCTCATCCACATACTCATGCCTTCTAATGCCTCAAACTCCATACTGGCAGGAAATCAATCACTAAAGTTTATTTGGCCTTCCTGCCCTATGCTTGGCCCTGTGAAAAATACACAGATGTATTTTAGTCCCTACCCTCAAAAGGTTTGCAGTTGAGTTTAGAGGCAGATGAATACATAGGAAACAAATGAGGAAATGACCTGTGGCATAGAATGAATAGTTTATGAGCGGGTGAGTTAGACAGACTGAATTTGAATCCCACATCCACCACTTACTGCCCATGTGACCTTGGACAAGTGACTTCATCTCTCTGGGCTCCCGTATCTGAAATATGAAGAGGACCACACATGTAATCTACATTTGGGTCTGTTGTGAGGATTCTACCAGATAGTCTGTGCAACAGCATGGGATAAGTGCTCCGTAGATATTAGATAGCATTCTCCCCTGGGATGGTGACAGCTCTGACTCACACTGTTCAGAGTTCTGAGAAGAGGGGGATGAATGTAAGTTGGGGGAGGCAGGAAAGGCCTACTGTGGGAGAGACAGTTTGAACTAGGAGAGGTTGGTGAGAGGGGGGCTTTAGAAAGATCTTTTGGCATTGTCTAGAGATATTTTTAGTAGTCACAATTCAGAATGTGTGTGTGGTAGGCAGGCAGTGCTCCTAGTATCTGGAGGGTAGAGGTTGGAGATGCTTCTAAACATCCTCCCATACAGAGGGCAGCCCTCACGACAAAGAATTATCTGGTCCAAAATGTCAATGGTGCAAGATTTAAAATCCTAATCTGGAGGGTAGAGAGGATTTACTGGCAATGGGAAGGCATTCCAGCAAGAATAAGGAAGTCATGATACAAACTGAGGCTGGACAGTATTGAGGGGTGTCCAGAAGTGCCCTTCAGTCTTCATCCCTCAGGCTGCAAGTTCCTCATCTACCTCCCAGATTTCAGAACTGCCTGACAGTTTAGAAGGCTCATCCAGTTTCTTTGCTACTCTTACTAGAGACGTGGGTAAAGCAGAGCAGATTCTCAGGAGATGTGCAAGCCCATGAGTGTCACATCTCATTGGAACCACAGTTGGAGGAAACCCCTGAGGTTCAGGGGACAGAAGGGGGAGGGACTTGTCCACCATCATGCAGCGCAGGTTGGTATGCTGGGAACTGACCCCAGAGCTCTATTTTTTTAATCAAAGTTTTTATTGATTGATTGATCTGACTGCATAGCATGGCATATGGGATCTTAGTTCCCTGACTAGGGATCAATCCCATGCCCCCTTCATTGGAAGCACAACATCTCAACCACTGGACCACCAGGGAAGTCCCTAGAGCTGTATTGTTGATGTACAACAAGTTAGCGGAGAAGGGATTGCAGAAATTGATTAATCTAGAAGTGGAAAACATGATACTTTTTAAAAGTCAGAAGGAGAGTTGGGACTGAACTTTGGAAGTGCCCAAGAGAATTATGTGATTCTCTAAGGGACAAGTATAATTCTGGGCTCTCAAACCATGCTTTATAGCCATAGGGTTTCAGAAAAGAGAAAATAGACATTGATTAATCAAAATTTTTCTTTCTTGGACTTCCCTGGTGGTACAGTGGATAAGAATCTACCTGCCAATGCAGGGTTTGGGGGTTCAATCCCTGATCTTGGAAGATTCCACATATGGAGAAGCAGCTAAGCCCATGGGCCACAACTACTGAAGCTATGTGCCCTAAAAGCAGCAAGCCACAACGACTGAACCCGCATGCTGCAGCTACTGTAGCCCATGCGTCTAGATCCTGTGCTCCGCAAAAGGAGCCACCACGGTGAGAAGTCCCAAGCTCTGCAGCTAGAGAAAGCTGGCAGCAGCAAAGACCCAGCACATCCAAAAGTGTTAAAAAAATTCTTTTGTGAAGCCATTTCTATATGCCAGGTACTGTTTTTAAGGCTAGGGATACAGCACTGGACAAGATAGGCAAAGCAAAACTTCATGGGGAGGGGGTGTGGAGTGGGGAGGAGGAGGATAAATAAAACTGCATATAATGCAATGCCGCGCATTCAACTGAGCACCTATTTGGGTTAGCTGTTCTTCATAAATATTCCCAATTTCACAAGGAGCTTTAAGGTAGAAATTCTTTTCTCATTTAAGATGGAGAAATTGAGTCTCAGAGAAGGTCAGTGGTTTCCTCAGAATAGAGCGACTAATAAGTGGAAGATTCGGGATTTGAAATCAGATGACCAATTTATGATTAAAAACATCTAGTAAATTTACAGAGGACATCCTCAATCCGATAAAGACTGTCTGCAAACAAAACCTTACAGCAATCATCTTACTTAATGACAAAATAGTGACAGTTTCCTCCTTTGGATCAGTATAAGATACAGATATCCATCACAACAATGTTCTGTTCAACATTATATCAGACGTCCTAGCCAAGACAATGAGACAAGAAAAAGAAATAAAAGACTTAAGGATTGGAAAAAGGAAGGTCAAAATATTGTTATTCATAGATGACATGTCATACATAGAAAATCCAGAAGAATCTACAAACTATGAGAATATGTGTACTTCATGAAATCACATAATACAAGTGATATACTTAGATATATCTATACCAGCAGCAGAAAAAAAAAATAGAAAATGATATTATAAAAGCAATACAATAGGCAAGTAATAGCAAAAGAAAATGAGGCTTCTTTTTGAAGTGATAAAATATTTTAAAATTGTGATGGTTACACATATTTATGAATATACTAAAAGCCATTGTACATTTTTTAATGGGTGAGTGTAGTATATGAATTGGACTTCCCTAGTAGCACAGTGGTAAAGAATCCGCTTGTCAGTGCTGGAGATGCAGGAGACATGGGTTCAATCCCTGGGTCAGGAAGATCCCCTGCAGGAGGAAATGGTAACCTATTCCAGTATTCTTGCCTGGTAAATCTCATGGGAAGAGGAGCCTGGCAGACCGCAGTCCATGGGGTTGCAAAGAGTCAAACATGACTAAGCACTCATGTCCATCATCAGTATGTGAATTATATCTCAATAAAGCTGTTATTTAAAAAATTAAGGGTATTACCGAGGTTTTACAGAGGCCTCTCATTCCTACACTCAGTCAGTCCAGTTCAGTTCAGTCACTCAGTCGTGTCCGACTCTCTGTGACCACATGAATCGCAGCACGCCAGGCCTCCCTGTCCATCACCAACTCCCGGAGTTTACTCAAACTCATGCCCATCAAGTCGGTGATGCCATCCAGCCATCTCACCCTCTGTCATCCCCTTCTCCTCCTGCCCCCAATCCCTCCCAGCATCAGGGTCTTTTCAAATGAGTCAGCTCTTTGCATGAGGTGGCCAAAGTATTGGAGTTGCAGCTTCGGCCTCAGTCCTTCCAATGAACACCCAGGACTGATCTGCTTTAGGATGGACTGGTTGGATCTCCTTGCAGTCCAAGGGACTCTCAAGAGTCTTCTCCAACACCACAGTTCAAAAGCATCAATTCTTCGGCGCTCAGCTTTCTTTATAGTCCAACTCTCACATCCATACATGACCACTGGAAAAACCATAGCCTTGACTAGACGGACCTTTGTTGGCAAAGTAATGTCTCTGCTTTTTAATATGCTGTCTAGGTTGGTCATAACTTTCCTTCCAAGGAGTAAGCATCTTTTAATTTCATGGCTGCAATCACCATCTGCAGTGATTTTAGAGCCCCCAAAAATAAAGTCTGACACTGTTTCCACTGTTTCCCCATCTATTTGCCATGAAATGATATCAGTTCTCACCAAACAGGTCTATAGATTCAATACAATTCCAATCAAAATCCCATCATTATGTTTGTGGAAATTGAACCTTGGTGGACCTGACTCCATGGCCCACTCCAAAACTGGACACAATAGAAAAAAATACAAGGGGCACAGTGTCCCCCATACACAGGGTTACAGGCAGACATAACTGAAAGACCATCAACACAGGGTTACAGGCAGACATAACTGAAAGACCATCAACACAGGGTTACAGGCAGACATAACTGAAAGACCATCAAGACCTCCAGTCATACAATCAGGACGCTAGAAAGCCCAATTTGGAGTAGAATGAGAAAATATATTTTCAGTTAAAACAGATCCTTACTCTGCTTTCAGTAGTTACAAGATAAAGGCCATAACTGACTAAATATATTTTTATTTAAAACAGGATGGTGGAGAGGACCGGGCCTTGTCACCCTCCACAAGTGACATCACAGGGGACAGGGCTTCCAGGCTGAGGAAGTGGCTCCCTCCCGGTGGGATATAGGTGTGCAGGGGCTCCTCTGGCCAGGACTTGGAGAGCGGGCTAAGAAATCCCCGAGGCCACATGCCCACGGGTACCAGCCTGCATAGTGGTGTGGCACTGCAGGAAGCTCTTGACCTGTCCCCAGAGGCCAGCTGGGACTTGGCGCTCACCTTGGGCTTCGGAGCATTCTGGGAGAACTGAGACTTGAATGCAGTCCCAGGAGAAGACAGCTGCTTCCTTCCGGATGACAAGTTGGGGAGCGCCCGAGAGGCTGGGTGGGAGACGGGAGGGGGCCGAGGGTGCAGCACGGCCTTGGTCCTCAGGCTGCACCCGCAGAGGCAGGGCTCAGAGACGTGGGCCACAGAGGCGCAGGGCCGGCCCCCCAGGCGGCACTCTGCCTCCCATCTGGACTCCCTGGGGTGCCGGCCTTTCCTAGAAGGGGGAAATGTCAGATCAGCTGAGAAAAGACTCAGGAGATAGATTTTTTTATTTTTGTAATGCAAGGACAGTGCTTCCCTGCCTCAGTACAATACTCACTCAGCCTCTTTCTGGGGCAGGTTCTCTTCCTGCAGAATCGAGGACTTAAAGACAGATTCTACCACAGGGGATCTCTTCATTTTCTCTGAAAAGAGGAGGGATTGAGAGCTGGCGGGGAGCGGGCTGAGGGCTTGGAATAGCACTGAGTCAGGAGCTTTCGATGGGATGTGGGGATGAAGGACCAGGAGAAGCAGTGTGGGGCCTCCAGGCTGGAGGATTAGAATACCCCCAAACCCTCTGTCCCCACACACACCTCTGGGAGGGGGAGCAGTCACTCACTATTGTACAGTCTGGAACTGGAAAATAGAGGAAAGATCTAACTGGGGAGAGAGGGGGATTCTCTTTCCCCACCTACTGAAGTGTCTTTCCAAGTCCACAGAAGTCTGCTTGGTACGCATCACTCGGGGCCCCTTTCCCCACTGTGATGTCACAGAAGGGTTCCAGCTAGTAAGAGCTGTGGACCCAGGTTCCCCGGGGAGCCAGGAAGTCCTGCCTCTTCCCCTGGTGGTACAGTAGGAGCATCCTTTCCAGAAACTCTTCAGGCTGTTTCTTCACACACCTTATCATGTGTCCTGCAGGGCACCTGCCAGGAAGGACATGTGGCTCTCCGGGCCTTGCGGTTTAGTTGCGGAGAAGCACACACAAGACACTGTGTATCCCACTGGTGTGTGCCCTGAACCAAGAATGATGGCACCAAGAGGTGATCAGGTCCGTTTCTGCGGGCTGGGGCGTCCTGAAAGCTCCCTGCTGGAGGACGAAGGGTGTAGCCTTAAGGACGTATGAGATTTGGGTGGAGGAACCAGAGAAGATGACTGGGATGAATGCAAAGCAGGGTCAGGAGCCAAGAGACCAGCTGGCCTTGGGCCGTGGATTCACATTTGTTTTCGGTTCACTTGTTTTTGGCCGTGCCACTCAGCATATGGGATCTTAGTTCCTCAACCAGGGATCAGACCCACACCCCCTGCCGCGGAAGCACAGTCTTTTTATTATTACTATTTTATTTATTTTTGGGTGTGCTGGGTCTTTGTTGCTGCATGGGCTTTTCTCTAGTTGTGGCGAGCAGGGGCTGCTCTCTAGTCACAGTATGAGGGCTCCTCATTGCAGTGGCTTCCCTTGCTGCGGAGCAGATTCCAGGCTGCCCAGTTTTGATTCAGTAGTTGTGGCTCCTGGTCTCTAGAGCACAAGTTCGATAGGTGGGGCGCATGGACTTAGTTGCTCTGAGCCATGTGGGATCTTCCTAGATCAGGGATAGAACCCGTGTCTCTTGCACTGGCAGGTGGATTCTTTACCACTGAGCCACCAGGGAAACCCTGAAGCACAGTCTTAACCACTGGACCAACAGGGAAATCCCTGGATTCACATTTGTGGGAACCAGGTGATAAAAGGTGTGGAAAAGAAGCAGGGAACTCCAGTGGGGAAGCTCTTAGGTAACCAGGTGAGGACTGGGGACTTACTGAGGGTAATGGAACATGCATGCTCAGTCAGGTCCAATTCTTTTGTGACCCCATGGACCATAGCTCACCAGGCTTCTCTGTCCATGGAATTCTCCAGGCAAGAATACTGGAGTGGGTTGCCATTTCCTTCTCCAGGGGATCTTCCCAACCCAGGGATCAAACCCCCGTTGCAGGTGGATTCTTTACCACCTGAACCACAAGGGAAGCCCAAAANAAAAAAAAAAAAAAAAAAAAAAAAAAAAAAAAAAAAAAAAAAAAAAAAAAAAAAAAAAAAAAAAAAAAAAAAAAAAAAAAAAAAAAAAAAAAAAAAAAAAAAAAAAAAAAAAAAAAAAAAAAAAAAAAAAAAAAAAAAAAAAAAAAAAAAAAAAAAAAAAAAAAAAAAAAAAAAAAAAAAAAAAAAAAAAAAAAAAAAAAAAAAAAAAAAAAAAAAAAAAAAAAAAAAAAAAAAAAAAAAAAAAAAAAAAAAAAAAAAAAAAAAAAAAAAAAAAAAAAAAAAAAAAAAAAAAAAAAAAAAAAAAAAAAAAAAAAAAAAAAAAAAAAAAAAAAAAAAAAAAAAAAAAAAAAAAAAAAAAAAAAAAAAAAAAAAAAAAAAAAAAAAAAAAAAAAAAAAAAAAAAAAAAAAAAAAAAAAAAAAAAAAAAAAAAAAAAAAAAAAAAAAAAAAAAAAAAAAAAAAAAAAAAAAAAAAAAAAAAAAAAAAAAAAAAAAAAAAAAAAAAAAAAAAAAAAAAAAAAAAAAAAAAAAAAAAAAAAAAAAAAAAAAAAAAAAAAAAAAAAAAAAAAAAAAAAAAAAAAAAAAAAAAAAAAAAAAAAAAAAAAAAAAAAAAAAAAAAAAAAAAAAAAAAAAAAAAAAAAAAAAAAAAAAAAAAAAAAAAAAAAAAAAAAAAAAAAAAAAAAAAAAAAAAAAAAAAAAAAAAAAAAAAAAAAAAAAAAAAAAAAAAAAAAAAAAAAAAAAAAAAAAAAAAAAAAAAAAAAAAAAAAAAAAAAAAAAAAAAAAAAAAAAAAAAAAAAAAAAAAAAAAAAAAAAAAAAAAAAAAAAAAAAAAAAAAAAAAAAAAAAAAAAAAAAAAAAAAAAAAAAAAAAAAAAAAAAAAAAAAAAAAAAAAAAAAAAAAAAAAAAAAAAAAAAAAAAAAAAAAAAAAAAAAAAAAAAAAAAAAAAAAAAAAAAAAAAAAAAAAAAAAAAAAAAAAAAAAAAAAAAAAAAAAAAAAAAAAAAAAAAAAAAAAAAAAAAAAAAAAAAAAAAAAAAAAAAAAAAAAAAAAAAAAAAAAAAAAAAAAAAAAAAAAAAAAAAAAAAAAAAAAAAAAAAAAAAAAAAAAAAAAAAAAAAAAAAAAAAAAAAAAAAAAAAAAAAAAAAAAAAAAAAAAAAAAAAAAAAAAAAAAAAAAAAAAAAAAAAAAAAAAAAAAAAAAAAAAAAAAAAAAAAAAAAAAAAAAAAAAAAAAAAAAAAAAAAAAAAAAAAAAAAAAAAAAAAAAAAAAAAAAAAAAAAAAAAAAAAAAAAAAAAAAAAAAAAAAAAAAAAAAAAAAAAAAAAAAAAAAAAAAAAAAAAAAAAAAAAAAAAAAAAAAAAAAAAAAAAAAAAAAAAAAAAAAAAAAAAAAAAAAAAAAAAAAAAAAAAAAAAAAAAAAAAAAAAAAAAAAAAAAAAAAAAAAAAAAAAAAAAAAAAAAAAAAAAAAAAAAAAAAAAAAAAAAAAAAAAAAAAAAAAAAAAAAAAAAAAAAAAAAAAAAAAAAAAAAAAAAAAAAAAAAAAAAAAAAAAAAAAAAAAAAAAAAAAAAAAAAAAAAAAAAAAAAAAAAAAAAAAAAAAAAAAAAAAAAAAAAAAAAAAAAAAAAAACCAAAAAAAAAAAAAAAAAAAAAAAAAAAAAAAAAAAAAAAAAAAAAAAAAAAAAAAAAAAACAACCCACAATACTGTAAAATAATTATCTTCCAATTAAAAAAAAATTTTTTAAGACGTGTTTTCTCATAGCTCTGGTAGCTAGAAGTCTATCAAGGCACCACACTCCCTCCAAAGGCTCTAGGCAAGACCCTCTGCTTGTCTCTCCTGGCTTCTGGTGGTTGCCTGCAATCCTTGATTTAAACAGCAAAGCTCCAATTTCTGCCCCCGTCATGGACATCTTCCCTCTTGTGAGTCTGTGTCCAAATTTTCCTCCCCTTAAAAAGACTCCAGTCATTGGATTTGGGCCTGTCCTAATCCAGAATGACCTCACCTTAACTTGATTAAATCTTCAAAAGCTTATTTGTAAATAAAATAAGATCACATCCACAGGTCATGGTGGACATAAATGGGGCTGGGCAAGGGGGAGATGCTATTCAACTCAGTATAGTGATCTCATGTGATCTCATGGTTTTGAATACCATCCATACATTTTAACTTTAACTTGTGCTGTGCTCAGTCATGTCTGACTCGTTTCGACCCCATAGACTGCAGCCCACCAGGCTTCTTTGTCCATGGAGTTTTCCAGGCAAGAATACTGGAGTGGGTTGCCACTTCCTACTCTGGGGGATCTTCCCAACCCAGGAATCGAGTCCACATTCATCTCTTCCATCTCCTGCATTGGCAGTTGGGTTCTTTACCACTAGCACCACCTTTATTAACTTCCACATATATATCTCCAGCCCACACTTGGTGCCTGCTCTTTCTGCTTCATATCTCCTGCCCTCTTCACGCCTCGGCTCACGTGCCAAGCCATCACTTTGGACCTACAGTGTCCCAAGTGAACTGTTCTGCAGCCGTGGTCCTCCACTTCCTCTGTAAATGGCAGACCCAAGAAAATCAAACCAGAGTCCACCTGGTGATGAGCTCCCTAGACTGACCCTCCCACTCAACTCTGGACACCAGTGGCTGGGCTCCCGCACAGAAGATGAGAGAAGCGTTCTCTAGCCAAATCAAATGACTCCACAGAAAAGACCAACATACAGTGGATCTGGAACTTCCAACAAAAACAGCCACTGGCCACCTGATCAAGACATGTGAGCCCGTAAGCCCACCAAGGCTTCCAATAAGAAACATCCAAAATTAATCAAGTATCTGAGAAAAGACTCAAACATTAAAGGAAAAATTAATAAGGGAGGAGGGGAGAAAGTAAATCATAAAGAAAAGAGGGAAGTATAGAAAGCAGAATGGTTCAAATAAATTATAATTTATAGCCTCAGAAAGATAATAGAAGATCCAGGACATGAAAACAGGATGCAGAATTTATTAAAAAAAAAAAAAAATACAGACTTCCCTGGTGGTCCAGTGGTTAAGACTCCACACTTCCAATGTAGGGGGCTAGGGTTCAGTCTCTGGCCAGGGAACTAGATTGTGCATGTTGCAGCTAAGACCTGGAGCAGCCAAATAAATTTTTTAAAAAAGAAAGAAACAGAAAAATGGTAATCCAAATGTAAAAGTCAGGTTGATGATAAAGCCCAGTGAAATCTCCTCCAAAGTAGAACAAAAAGATAAAGCAAGGGATAATAATGGAGGATAGATAAGAAAATTAAAGGATTAGTCCAGAGGATCAAAACTGACTGTTAGGAGAAATATAATGAAAAGGACTAAAAGGAAGAGGCAACCTCAGCAGGTTGTATTCATATTTTCTAAAGATGGCTGCAATAGATCCTGTCTTACACACTTTTCTAGAATTTTGCCATATCCCATCAAGAGGTGGTGTCTAGCTCTCTTAACCTTGGCTCTTAAAAGGTTTTTCTGACTGTATTTACCAACAGAGTATGGGGGAGGGCAGCCTGTGTGAATTCTAAAGCCAGGTCATCAAAGGTAATTCTCCTCCTGCTTTGCTGCTGGCAGTATTGCCCCGGAGCCCTGAGCCACCACAGAAGCCATCTGATTGCCCCAGGGCCACCATGCTACAAGGAAGCCCAAGCTAGGCCATGTGGAGAGAGCACACAGCCTACCTGAGAAGAGAGAAAGATGCCCAGTAAGGCCCCTGGTGCTCCAGTCCTCACTGTTC